GACACAGCTAGAGTTCATGTTCTTCCCACATTTGCTAACCTCAGGGATGACTCTCTCCCTCCTCTGTTAATCAAATGCAACCCATTTTTCATGGATCAAGCCAAGTCCCATGTCCCTATGAGGGTTGCTGCCTCCCCACCCCTCCATGAGCTCCTTGAGAGTCTAGCTTCTGTATAAGTCATCTTTGTACCCTAGGAATAAGCACAGAGTCAGGGAATGTATTGAGATAAAAAACTTTCTCTAGCTTTCTATCATTCCTCCCCTGCTTAACTCTAGTGCACTTAGTATCTGCACCAATTATTTGGACATGCTCTAATATGCCTGCAGCATTTTTAACCAGCCCCCTTAAGACTGAATGCTTTGTCCTTCCCACCTAGATTGTCAGTTCTTTGAGAACAGGGAGAAGCCTTCTTTTTTTCTCCATATTTATCTCCATTGCCTAATACAGAAATCATGCTCACAAAATTGTTGCCTTAAATGTTGTTTCCTTTTTCTTGACCGTAGTGTCTAATGAGAATCACGTAGAGAATGCTCATTTTTCTTAAGTCAGAATTTAATTGTAAGTGAATCCATGAGAGGGCTTTGGCTTCTATGCATTTCAAACATAGGTGTAAATTTTTTATCAACCAGTTGGGGCTTAATTCAGTTCAACCATATTTATTGAACAGCTGCTTTGCACCTGACGCAGAACCAGGCATAGTCACTGCCTCATGTGGGTTCAGAATGGACAGGGATGTCTTGCTGCCTCCCTCTTTCACCTAGGGACAATGCTTGTCCTTATTATCAGTCAGCGGCAGATGGACAGTGGTCAGTGTATACAGGCCCAGCCACCTGCCTGGACCTTCCTGAGAGTTGATGTGGACCTGCTTCTCACCTGGTGCAGCTGCATCCTAGCTGTGTGAATTACTGCACACTGCCCCCCTCCTCCCCATATCCTTGTCCACACTCTGGCAGCCAGTTTGCCGACATGACTCCAAAAAGTCTGCATTTTGGCTTTTCAGGAAACTTCAAACTTATCTGTTTAAGAAATAATGTGCAAGGGAGAAATGAACCTGACAAGGCCAATAATAGAGATTTCATGCTGCATTTTACCAAGCCAGAGTATTCACGTGCTAATTCAGTGGCATGCTCCGCAGCAGATGCACCCCTACTGTGTGTCCCCCACCCCCAGTTCCAACTGCTCTGTTGCAGCGGGATTTGGTCAGAATCTGGGCAGATCCCCCTTTATTGAACAGAATACTGATTCCATTACAAGGAGCAAGTCTGGTGAAAGTGGTCCTTGCCTTCCCATCGCACACAAAGGCAAGGAGCTCCTTAAAGGGACCTGACTGCGCCGCCGTGCAGCTTCAAAACCGTGTCAGTGCAGGCTCAGCACCCATCGCGGGGCTAGAATGAGTGGGGAGGGGTCCTGAGGAGCCCCCACGTCCTCGCAGAGGGGGGCAGAGAGGGACTGGTCGCCAGAGTGGATGGAGACCACCGGTCCCCAGGGTGCGGCTCGTGATTAGCTGCTTCTGGGGATGCTCGGCGCACGTTCAGCCTCCTGCCTGTGGTCCAGAGGGTGCTGAGGCACATCTTGCGGTATGCCTGCGTGGATTTGAGCCACCGGCCAGAGGCGAGTCCGGATTCACACCCGGCGGAACAGCTCAACAGGACTGCGTGCAGTCATCATGCATGCTTAGCTCTAGGCTTCCGCAAAAGCCTCCCGACTACATGGATTTGACTGTTTAGTCGGAAGAGAGTGCTGCCCGGGAAGATTTGCGAGCCCGATCCGCGCGCCAGCTTCTGTGACAACTTCAGGGCTGGCTGTTTACTTCTCTGGGTCCCAGGGACTCTGTCCTGCACCGCAGCCACTCCTGCCACTTTACCCGCTCTGAAGTCAGACGCAAGGACTCCTTTAACGGCATCCCCAGGGGGAGCAAGGAGGGGTTAAAAGACGAGCAGAACCCCCCCAACTGCTCAACCTCTCGTGACTGCTTGTGTTCTGGGGTTCTGAGAGGGACCGTGTGCTGCCCGGGGAAGCAATGCAAGTCTCCATAGCCTGCACAGAGCACAATTTGAAGAGTCGGAATGGTGAGGACCGACTTCTGAGCAAGCAGAGTTCCACCGCCCCCAATGTGGTGAACGCAGCCCGGGCCAAATTCCGCACGGTCGCTATCATCGCGCGCAGCCTGGGGACCTTCACCCCTCAGCACCACATTTCTCTCAAAGAGTCCACAGCAAAGCAGACTGGCATGAAATATAGGTATGGATGTAAGATTCCCTTTTCCTGATTCCCATATTGTGTACAGGTGCATTGGAGACAGTCCCTCGTTTATGAAAGTGACTTATTCTTTGGTGGGTTGCTTAATTTAGAATTCTCAGGTGTTTCTAAAATAGCTCCTAAGGAAGGTGGAAAACTCCAAGGCTATGTGTGTCTGAATGTGTGTGTGTGTGTGTGTGTGTATACCTTAGAAACTGTATATATTCCAGACCACAACAGCTGGAAACTAGTATTTAAATCAGAGTAGTTTTTTTTTTTTTTTTTTTTTTTTTTAACACCAAAGGTATTTATCCTACTTTATGGTATAGGCTGTAGTTTCTGTGATTATATTATTAAAAATAGTGTATGTGATCATACTATCAAAAATAGTTTCTTATCTTGTATTGGACTCTTATTAATCATTTGAAAGACCAAGGTAACTGATGCTATCCAAAGCTTTTAAGGAAGTTCTGGTATGAGAAGAAATACCTGTAATGGCAAATTGGATGGCATACTGCCATGCTTTAAATATAAATTACTGCTTGAAATAAGATGTAGACCTTATTGTGAAATATGGAGAAAAAGTCAATCATTGTAATACTACTAGTTTCCTTATATATTTTTTAAATTCCTTCTTCTGTGTTGTTTTCCATAGTTGAAAATATTATTTTTGATAGCTAATACTATCTTTAACAGGGAATGACTTGAATCTGATAAGGTGAAAATTTCATTATTCAGTTGTGTGGCTCCTGCCTCCCCATTAGATCTGCTTTGTATCATGCCTTCCTAACTTTATTTCTTTGAAGCTACTGTGTTTTTAGTTTCTAAAAGTGTTTGAAGATAAAGTGGAGAGAAGCTAAAGATGCATCTTCCAAAGGCTTTGGTTACTCTAGGGTGTGAGTATGATTTTGTCAGTTATTTACATTTACCTATCCATTGTCTTTGTTAGGGACTAGGCTTTAGGATAGAAAAAAAAAAAAAAAAAACCTCAATAGAATTAAAATAATGTACACCTCAGACTTTATGTTGACCATGTGTGGTTTCTGAAATAAGTCTTTAAACCAATTTCTATTAAAGTTGCCCTTGAAAAAAGTTTGTTTGCAGACTCCCAGGGAAAGCTTACCATTGCAAAAAAGTTCAGCAGGATTGTTTTGATATATATTTGGGTTGTTAAGAAAGAAAGCCCTTGGATGAAGAAAAACAAAGCAAAAAAACATAGCCAAAGCACATTGCTCGAAGGGCAATACAAATTCAAGCAGTCTGAGTCCCTCTGTCAACTGTTGAAGTGTCAGCAGTATGAGTACTTCTGTTTTTCTTGACTGTCCCGTGATGGAGATTGGGCCACACAATGACAGCTCCCTGAATGAGACTGCAGTCTCAAGAGCATTGGCATTTTCTACTGCTGGTGCTGTGGCACACACCCAGTCCTGCCCTGTGGACACTGCGCTGCTCTCTGCAGGAGATGGAGAGGAGCTGCTGTTTGCCTGAGCAGATCCCCCAGGAATGGGACACTGCAGCTTTGAGGCAGATCACAGAGATGAGTTGGATTGTGGTCCAACATTTTAGCAGCACAGTGACTTTTCTTTTTGTAAATGATAATAATATAAATAAATAACACTTCTCATTTTGGGGTGTAGAGTTTCACAGTTGCTTGTGGGTCATTGTGTTGCAAGAGCGTAATCTTATGAGGGCTTTCAGAAGTCAGTTTTCCATTATGGCTTTATTGGTAATACTCACAGGTCAGCTCAGCTCAGATGGAAACTGGTGTTATTAAAAGTAATAATAATAAACTCAGTGCACTAGAAAGATTAACTTGGGCATCATTTATTACTGGCAAATCAAGACAGCTCTTCTCTGATAAAAAGTTGGCCATCTGGGGTCATAAGTATTCTTTGAATTATTTGTTGTTTATGGTAGCTAAACATGATTTCTCTTTTCCACAACCCTTATTCTGTAGGACTCCATCTCTGTAAGCAGGTGACCTTGTATGTGTGTGATTGTGACTTAACCCTTCTCTTTTTTCAATTATGTTCAGAGTAACCTTTATGAAAGATATGATAAGATTATACCAAATACACGCTAAATAATTTTTAAAGTTGGAGAAAGACAGACAGACAGACACAGAGAGGGACTATCCACTTCACCAGAAATTATAGAATTATTTTTATTAGCCAAATAATTTTTTTTCCTTTGGCATTGAAGTCACTAAAATATAATGTAAATATATGGACTATTCATTGATAGAAAATAGAAAAACAAAAAAAAATTTAAAGGCTAGAGAATGGGGGAAGTGAATGGTGTGGATAAACAACCTGGAGAATGTCTGGAGAAGTTAGAATGGAAAATTAGGGGCAAATCATAGCTATAATAATGTTCTCATCCTTGAAAATAAGCATCAACATCAACTCCCAGAAGATCAAACTGCCTGATTATATATAAAATATTGTCCTTTTGTACATTTTTCTGAGGAGAGGTTCACAGCTTTTGTCAGAGTCTCAAAAGTGTTTACCACTTAAAAATTGTCAAAAACCAGTGTTATAAAGTGAAGAAACATTCCTTTAGTCAACAAATAGTAATTAATCAGAAATGCTGCTAAAACTGAGTACACAAGATGCAGAAACCAGACAAGGTTTGAGACTTACATTCAAGTTGGGGAAAACAGATCATAAACAAGAAAACAAATAAATAAGAAAATGATCTATTGTGAAACATTCTTATGAAGGCTATGATTTGAGGGTAATAGTCAAGCCTGTGCCAACTATGTTTATCCATTTTGAGGCTACCATCTCTGCTTCTGTCTCAGTTCCAGGCTTAATTGCTGCATCCTGAAGCGTAAGTAGTTGCACTCATGTCTGCCCCTCACTTTTCTATCCCAAGAGCTTCTTTTCAGGTTACAACTCTGCTGTAAGGTTCTACCTGGCAGCTGAGGACACGCATAAAACCCTGATAAACTAGTAGAATATCTTTTACTCATATAATGTCTTATGACTTTTAAAGCCCTACTGGATTCATAACCCAAAGTCACTGTCCATTCATCAAGAACCCATGAACGGGTGTCTTAGAAGGAATTAATATACAATAGTACAAAGAATTTAAATTCTGAAAGAATAAAATACTCAAAATTGCCTTTACGTTGTGTAAAACTTTCATAAAATTGGCTATTGTTTTAAAGCTAATAATAATAATAATAAACCCACTAGAATAATACTGTTCAAATGTTGGTGTCAGCCCAAAAGAATGAGATCCTACCTGTTGTTTATCCTGAGGACTATCCTGTATGAAAATGACAATGCACTATTCAATTTCTCAGAATTTTTACAGTGGTGCTTTGTTAATGCACAATGATTTCCTTGTTTTAATTTTTCTAATCTTAGAGTTGATCACAACATGTTAGAATTTGACATACACTCTGCAAATATACATTATAAATGATGCATTATAGACATAGGAACACACATGAATCTTTCACCCTAAGAAAGTCAAATCACTCTCAACAACAGTCTGCCCAGTTTTGTTAGTTTTGTCTGTCTGTTTATCTTAGTTAACTTTTTAGAATGACCTGACTACTAGAGCTCTACATGGTCTTTTGTCATGCTGAATTTGATACATTTGGACTGATAGATTACCCACCCAATTTTGAAATTGTTAATTTATTTCTACAGAAGTTTGAAAATTGATGGATCCAATTACACTGAGAAAAATTTTCTCTGTAATATATACATTCATGCCATATAAACCTTGTGTTGAATGGTTAAATAAAATGTGCTTTGAAATTCTTAAACGAATCCTTTGTAAGAAGCAGTATTGTCTGAAAAATGATCTTTAAATTCCTCTAAAAAAACTCTTTATTGTTCTCTTCACTTTTTATGTTAGCTGCTACACTTTGCCATTTTTGTCATTATTTTTTAACTTCTTCTGAAATAATTATAGATTCACAGGAATTTCCCCAAAAAATGTTCAGAGTTTCCGTGTGCCCTAATCCAGTTTTATTCACCTTACGTAATTGTAGCACAGTCTCAAAACTTGCAAATTGACATTGGTACAATCCACAGTTTATTCAGATTTCACCAGTTATACTTGGATTCATTTGGGTATATATGTGCCTATTCAATTTTATCTCATGTATAGATTTTCATAACAACCACAATCAAGATACAGAATTGTTCCAGCACCACAAGGCTCTCTTATGCTACCCCTTTATAGCCATATCCACACCTTCCACCCAATCATTGGATCTTGGCAACAACTGATTTGTTCTTCATCTCTTTAATTTTATTTCAAGAAAGTTACATAAATGGAATCATGGATTATGTAACCTTTTCATATTGGCTTTTCTTTCACTCAGCATAATTCCTTGGAGTTCCATGGAAGTTGTTATGTTGTTATCAATAGTTTGTTTCTTTTTGTTGCTGAGTAGTATTCCATGATATGGATAAACCATAGTTTATTTAACCTTTCATCCAGTGAAGGGCATTTGGGTTGTTGTTATCATTTTTTTTTAACACTTCGATGCCTTCAGAGTTTGACATTACCCTAAAATTCCTTTAATGTCACTCAGTAGCTCAGTAGTTTAGGGAGTTTGGATTTCTAAATTCCCTAACATAGACCTGGGGTCCCACGTGGTCTGACTTCCATCACCCTTTCAAGCCACCATACATGGTTCTCTTTCTACCTTCCATGGTGGAAGAGGCAGAGCATCCAATAAGCAAAGTAAGTACGGACTTACTTATGCTTACTTACTGATTTGTAGTGAACAGTTTCACCTATTTTTGCCACATCAAAGATGTGGTGAAACCCATGTGAAATTGTTCCATACAGATTAGTAAGAAAGCACAAGTCAGCCTGTACTTACCTTGCTTATTGGGTGCTCTGTCCCTGTCAAGGAGCTCTGGTGGTGTAGCCATTAAGGAATTTGGCTCCTAACCAAAAGGTCAGTGGTATGAACTCACCAGCCACTTTGTGGAAGAAAGCTGGGGCAGTCTGCTTCCGTAAAGATAATCAGC